AAAATTGGTGGCCTAGAAAACTCAATTTGCAAAAGTTAGGCCAATATGCTATATATTTAACTAACTTCAAGCAAATCGATCTTTTTTCCTCTTGATGTGCTTTTGACCGGAGGAAGATAATCAGTTGCGACATTCGACTGTCCTCCATGATTCAACCACATTGGGAATTGATCGGGATTCTTTTGAATACCCTTCCTGAAGAATGGATAAAATTGGGATCCAATTTTGTTGACTTGACACATTCGACTGGAAATTAAAACTATATCTTAAAGGCTCAAAGTTGGAATACCTACCTGTTTGTCAGAATCAAAAATTCTTTATTTTTGAAATCAAAATCAATGAATTTTTGGGTCGCATTCATAAACTGTTCATGGCTTTCTGGTTTTGATTCGAGCACCTGGAAGATCGCAAAAAATCAATAATTTCCGCATTAAAAACCTCACATGAAGTTTCGCTTTGAACTGATTATCAATACTGAATCCCAATCTGTTCTTCATCCAATATTTTTCCTCTTCCGCCCCACCTGCTACTTTCACATGAAGTTTGTTGATATGTGGATAGAATTTAATGTATTCCTTTTCACACATTTCTGGTTCAACTGTTTTGAAGTTGTTTGTGTCATGGTAGTCCTGTTTTATCAATGGGCAAATATAAATTCTGAAAAAAGGGATGGTCTGGAAATTACAGACCAGAGACAGTTACCCATGACAATACTTTGGTGGCCATGTGGAGATGTAAAAAATCTCGTTGTTCACATCGTTCTGAGTGATTTTCCATACAGAAGCCCATGTTGGACGGTAGTTACTCCTTAAAATCTTTGTCAGTAACTAAAAACTTATAAAAGTCTCATTTGCATTTGACCTTTGACCCCAAAAAAATGTATCGTAAAATAACTTTGAGCTAATTTATTTTGGTTTCTGTTAAAGAAATGAAAAAGTTTTCAACTGATAAGCTGTTTGTCAAAATATCAGAAATATTTTATCAGTTGACACATTTTTGTTATCTTTCACAGGAGCTGAGATAAATTGGCTCGAAGTTGACAGTGTGGGGCCCTCCTATTACACGTTACCGTATCTCCTTAATAGAAGCATATCCAGAGCGTCAACTTTGAGCTCAATTATCTTAATTCCTATAAAAAAATGTAAAAAATGTGTCAACTGATAAAATATTGGTAATGTTATGATAACAATTTATTAGTTAACACAATTGTTATATCTTGCATAGAAATTGAGATAATCAAGTTTAAACTTGACAGTGCGGGGCACTCCTACTACAAGTTACATGGTGTTTGTCTTGTTAAAAAAGTACAATATTTAAAATTAAGACTCACATTTCATTGACATCGAGTTGATATTCTCCTTTTAGCATGTTAAATGGTTCATCAGTTGGCATCAGGATTTCTCCATTGTTGGGTGCTGGTTGTTGTCCGGCAACTGCCAGAAACAGTCCCTGTGGACAGAAATTGAAATCATAAAATACGGAAAAAAGAGCAAAACTTACAAAGACTTTGAAAATCAAGTTTATTCCCAGCATAATCGAAGGATAGCTGGGGAAGTAACAGGTTGTATTCTAAGGAGGTGGTACTGGAGATCCTGATACGAGCAGTCGACGCGTGGAATATCTGTTAACATAGATTATCAGTGTCACGGGTTTACTGGGGGAATAAATATGTTATGTGACGTTTTTGATTTTACTAGGAACACCTTTACTGGAGATTTTTCAGAGTTTTTCCGCGACGCTCAGTCGGTAGCGGCGCCGCACCTTCAATACTCGTCCCCCGAGTTCAACTCCTCGAGAGGCTCATGTGAAAAATATTTCGAGACCGTATTTTTTTCGAATCAGTCAAAAGATGTGCTCAAAAAAGCTAAATCGAATTCGAGTTTTCAAAAACATTTTCCCATGGAAAGCTCCACACCCTTTTTTCATACCTTGCTCTAGGATTACCGGTATTTTGAAACTATGGTATTTTTGAGTTTCCTAGGACTACGATATTGTTCAATTTTCTTGGATTATGGTGTTTTTCCATTTTCTAGAATTACTCTATTTTTGAACTTTCAAGGATTACGGTAATTTTGAATTTTTAAGGATTACAGTATTTTTCAATTTTCTAGAATTACGGTATTTTTATTTTTTAGGATTACTGTATTTTTGAATTTTCTAGGGTTACTGTACTTCTGAATTTTTAGGTACGGTATTTTTTCAGCTTTCTAGGACGATAATTTTGAATTTTCTACAATTACGGTATTTTTGAATTTTCAACGATTAGAGCTCCGTCCCCTTTTTTCATACCTTGCTCTAGGATTACCGGTATTTTAAGATTATGGTGTTTTTGAATTTTCTAGGATTACGGTAATTTTGAATTTTTTAGATGTATGGTGATTTTCAATTTTCTAGGATTACGATATTTTAGGATTATGATACTTTTGAATTTTCTAGGGCTACTGTAGTTTTCAATTTTCGAGGTTTTTTGAATTTATTGGATTAAAAAAAGACGAAAAATACAAAAAAAAAACAGAGAAAACTCGATATTTTCAGCAATCCTGAAAAGTTGAAACACAAACGGCCTTAACCGTTGTCTGGCTTTAAATATAATTTGGATTTTCAGAATTTTCGACATTTCTTGCCAGCCCAATCCCTTCCAATCCTTCCCCTCGTTCCAACTTCTAGAACTTTTATTTCTCCCAAACATGAACTTTTTCCAGAATCCAATCAACACCCCTCCATATAACACTGCTCAAACAATCAAATTTCCTGTTTCCACTCTTCATTGTGACGTACTCTTCTCCATTTGTTGCCTCAGCTGCAAAAGTATCTACCGAAAGTCAAAGTTTTAGGAGCTTCCGGGGAGCAAAAACTTTTTTTCAATCAACGCGAACTTTTCGAAAAGAGTTGTACTTTCATTCTATCGTCAGTCCCAGACAGTGACAATTCACTTGATAATTGACATCAATTGTTACGAGAAAGTGCACTTGACTATAAGTATGTTGGAGTACAAATACATCATAATGAATATATAATATAAGGTGTGGTGTCTGATTCAAGACTAAGAATACTTTATGTTAAAAACAACTTTTCCATTTTTTTCGTCTGTGTCATTTGGATTTGGTCAAAAATAGAATCGGTGAAAAAATCAAAACATTCGAGTACAGTCGACAGAACTATTGTTCGGATTATCCGGCTACAGCCAACTTTTTCTGTTTTTCATACTTTTTCCCAACTTGATCTCTACTCATGCTATCCGATCTGAACCTCTATAGGTTTTCAATTTTTCAGCAATTTTTAAACCATTCGGTTGGTTCATTTCTTCCGATTTACTATGAGGCATATAGTCCCGGTCAATAAGATATACAAAAATCGTATTCTTCAGTTGATTTTGGTCATTTTTAGAAGTCGGAAGCTCGGATGTCAAGTTTCCGATCACCTCAAAATTTTGAAGGGTTTGCGTATTGGGCGCTCTTCCGCTTCCTTGCTCACTGACTCGCTGCGCTCGG